ACATTTTTCCTTTCTCTCATCCCTATTCCCTTTTCCCCCTTTTTTCGTTCTCCTCCTTTCCCCTTTTTCTCACCCTTCCCCTTTCCCCTTTTTCTCACCCTTCCCCTTTCCCCTTTTTCTCCCCCTCCCCCCTTTCTGCCCCCAGGTCCAACATCCCCGGTCCTCCAGTCGTCTCCCTTCACAGTCTACTCGTTGCTCAGATGCATCTTCTACTGGTTCAGAAGCACGGGTCGTTTCCTGGTCAACTATAGAGAGCTTTGCGTCATTAACCCCGACACAAGTGGTTGCCAAGTAAGTAAAGAAAATGGCCTGAAGAAAACCTTGTACAAATCCGCTTGGCTGTCTGCTTTTGTGTCTATTCAACCCGACGGTCTAGATTTCTACCGCGACATTTCTGTTCTATTTCTGTTCTACTTGACGATCTACTGCAGTACTTCTGTTCTACTAGATAGTCTGCCTCGATATTTCTGTTCTTTTTAACGGTCTACCATATGACCTGTCTGACAAAATTAAATGTTCTTCTTGACATTAAACCTCAATGTCTTTATTCGACTTGAGAGTCTACTTTTAGGCATCTATTCAGTTTGACTGTATACCACGATGTTTCTGTTCTATATGATGGTTACCATATTATGACCAGTCCGTCAAAATGTTCCACTTGACAGTCTACGTGATGTTTCTGTTCGTCGGTAAGCTGTTCAAATGTACTAAGCACAGAAAGTAAAAATATTTTTACATTTATTAAGTATTTTCCCGTGCTTTTTAAACCTTCAGAATTTTGATTTTTAGTGAAATAACAATCTTTAGCACATGAAACCGATGGCTTAGCATTACAGAGTATTATTTTAGAAAAGGAAAAAGTATTTGAAGCTTAATTCATCAGAACAACTGGCCGACGATGTGTAAAAATTACCCAGTGAAAGCCTCATTTTGAAATTTTGTAGACCATCAAGCGAACAGCAGGGCAAATCTATTAATAATGACGCTGTATTTTGAGTTTTCAGGAGTGTGATGTACCAAAGAATATTCAGAAATTAAAAAAAAATTCAATGAAACTTATTGAACGAAGACAACATGTATGGTTATTTTGGTGTAATGGAGTTGTCATCTATTATTCCGAGACCTCTGAGCCTGACGTGCAATGGTCCGTTATTTACTTCGTCTGTCAGCTCCTTTGGTGCACTGTTCCAACGACCGTGCTGTCCATGGCCTTATGTTGTCAGTCCATAGTAGTATCAGTAGTCTCTGTATTCCTACTGCCTTGGTCCCTTTTCGCTTGCCTTCTAACATTTCTATTCAAATCTTTTTGTGTCTCTTTATAAGAAAGGTAAATGAACCTGTAGAAACAATAAAAAATATAATTTTTTATTTGAGGGGCACTCGTGTTCTGTTTGATATTCTTGAATGATGGCAAGATACTGTATCCTCCCAGACAGATACTGAGCTGTTTGGGATACGGTATCCTCCGAGACAGATACTGAGCTGTTTGGAATAATGGTTGTCGTTGTCGTTGTTGTTGTTGTTGTTGTTGTTGTTGTTGTTGTTGTTGTTGTTGTTGTCTATTGCATGATTAGATGTGATACAACAGTTTAGCCCTTCGGCGTCACGTGATACAGAAGACCGACTTCGATTCCTTTGTGAGGAGAATTTTTATCGAGTATCACAGCTTTCCTTCTGGGACATGCATTGCATCCCTTTCAGCCCTGCTTGGTCCTGGCAGGCAGGGTCGAAGCCTCCAACCCCCCTTCTTTCCCATCCCCGAAAAAAAGATTCTAAATCAATTTGTATTCATGCGGGCGCGAAGTAAAAACGCCTGCATATCAAATTGTGTAATGTTTTTGTTTCTTCGATATTTCTCTATAGGGTGACAGCGGTGGTCCCTTGGTATGTAACGGCCGTCTGACGGGTATCGTGTCGTGGGGAACCACATCATGCAAAGTCGGTGCACCCTCTGTCTACACTCGTGTGCACGTCTACATCTTCTGGATACTCTTTCGACTATTTTGACCACACAGACAGACGTAGTTGCATAATGATACCGATGATGATAATAATAATGATACCTTTAAGTTTTAGTAAGAGTTTTACAGGCACTTGCAACACAAGTTGGTCATAAGAATGATGATGGTTAGAGATGTATCTAGTATCTAGAGGGTAACGTACTAAGAAAAGAAGGGGGAGAAATAAAGACGACAGATGGTGGATAGGACAGCAGGAGCAAACTGCGCCAGATCACTGTCAACAATCCACGCTGTGCGTCTTTAAGGAGGGAGTGAACGAAGCTCCGCTCCGCCCGCCTCCCCCCTCTCCCCCTCGTGTAAATTGTCTGGTAAAAGTAAGCTTCATCCCATAATTTTTGTCAGTTTGTTGCCGTTTTAGCACTTATTGTGTAAACCACAACTTAGACTGTGTGCGTTCTGGGAAGCTGAGAATTGTTTCAATGTCGTATTTTTGGAGTATGTTGGCGTAAAAATAGCTGTAAAGTGTATAGTGGATTCTTTAAAGGCGTATACATGCGATGTTTTATTACAGTTACTATTATTATTATCATTATTTGTATCATTATTATTATCATTATCACTATCACTATCATTATCAATATTACACGGAATCTACTTTACAGAGTATACGCATCCAAGGTCTTCACTCTCCGTAAGGCTACAGTGGATTCCGTGACTTTATGCACGACATAAGCTTTTATAATGCAGATTTTTTTTTTAAATTCACTTTAACCGTTTTCCTTCTAGCTCCGCACTGGTCAACCTTTTTTTTAGACCGCGCCCACCTTTTCAGTTGACCTTTCAGAGGTTAAATTGTCTTTCCGCCCACCTATATGTTTCCAAGCTGGGGCATGGAATAATACCTGTCACTACTTGAGTCATCTCCACCGCCCACCTATGTGTTTCCAAGCTGGGGCATTGAATAATACCTGTCACTACTTGAGTCATCTCCACCGCCCACCTATATGTTTCCAAGCTGGGGCATTGAATAATACCTGTCACTACTTGAGTGATCTCCACCGCCCACCTATATGTTTCCAAGCTGGGGCATTGAATAATACCTGTCACTACTTGAGTCATCTCCACCGCCCACCTATATGTGTTTCCAAGCTGGGGCATGGAATAATACCTGTCACTACTTGGGTGATCTCCACCGCC